AATGATCCTGTTTCTCGAGTGAAGGCTTCTTGAGCAATACACAAAACAAGCAGGGAGCAAGAGAAATAAGCATTTTTTTAAAACCTGGAATAGGAATATGCAGTATTCTCACACTCACACAATAAACTCAGATCAGTGAAGTTTACTCCCAGGGAAGACTGTGAGCACACAGACTGCCACAACTGTCAGAACCACTGGCATCCATGAGGATAATGCCACGGAATTATAATTACTCCTTTGCAGATTACCGCATGAGCACCATACCTTGGGCTCATATTGTTCTGTTTCTTTTCTTCTAAAAGAACGATTTCAACATCCAGCCTGAGGATGAATTCTGTGTAACTCAGAAACTTGCACATGACCTTGTGAATGAATATTAGTTGGTCTAATAAAGCTGCAGATTTTCTGACCGTGTGTATTCAGTTTGAGCAGGACAATGGCTGCCTAATGTTTTATATAAAGTTGCTGTTGTTTTTGATAGACGGAATAAACATTGGATCAGCAAAAGATCATTGTTCTGCTTTCTCCCACTGACTGCACTTCTGTGGTCTCAGGCAAGGAACTGTGGATCCCTCAGAACATAGGAAGCGCCCCAACACTGGAGCAGATGAGCAAACCTCCTGTTCCCCCCATGGCCAGCCAGACGTCCTCGGGACGACCTTCCTCTCCTCGTGCTTCTCGGGAGCTGCAATTCCCAGGCCTCATATCCGGTGGCTGAAAGCCTTCCTCACTGGCTGCTGCTGATGACAGGGAGAAGGAGTATATGCATGTTGTGTTAATGTTTCTGTTGGAAAATGGCATCCATTGAAAATTCAGTGTAAATTTCCAAGGACAGCTGAATGTTGGTTTGCACAGAGGCTCAAAATATAAATAAATAAAGTGTGTAGTCAGGTAAATTCACATTAAAAGGCAAGCCACACTCAAGGCAAATGGATGATTGAGAGAAAGGTGGAAGGAAACTGAAGGCGGCGGGGGGGGGGGCAGCCCTTCTCCTTGCCTTCTGTTTCTTGTGTTCATGCAGGCTGATAAGAAAAGGCGGGGGGGTTCTCTGGGGTTGGTAGGGTGGGAGCATTAAATTCTGGAGCCTTTGCATTAGCTCATGATGTCAGCTCTATAATATCCAATGAAGCAAAATGAATCACGTCACTGCAAGAAGAGCCAGGAGAACTTGCTCACCTCAAAGCCAAACCGAGCAGTGGGCTCTATGAATGCCTCGTTCCAGGGGAAATTTCAGTTTTCTAGTCAACCGGGCAGCCACGGTGGCTGCACCTCTTCGGAAGGTATGTTTGGGAGCAGAGCGGCCAGTCTGGCTGGGCCTCTTCGTGTGCCAAGCTGTCCATAAATGATACAGATCAGAGGCTCTCGCTTTTTTTGTTGCGGTCGTTGGGTTACTCTGGCAGAAAATGCAAGGAGGTCAAGATCTTGCTCAAAGGTTTGGCCCTGGTTATCCTCCGGCACCAAGCCGTCGACATAAGTGCAGCCCGCCTCGTTGCTGGCCGGAGACCTTGTCCTGCCACGCACGGCCGTCCTTGAACGCAGCGCGGCTAAGCTCCAGGCGTGCTGGTGCAAATGTGCTACAAACAGAAGCGCCCAACCAAGAGCCGGTCCAGAACTCTCCTCCTCTTGCCCCAACAAGCTTTCGTTTCGATTGATGCACTTACCGCATTTTATACCACCCCACAGCCAAAAGGCTGCCGGTCCCCTCGGCTTCTGGAGCACCCCTGGCCTTTGGCGGCTCTGTCTGCAAGCGGGCGGCCCATCGCTCAGGTGCAGCGTCCTCTCCATGGGCACAGACGGTTTCTCATCTGTGGAGGACACGCCACCTACGAACAGAGGCGGTGGCCCTGCTCCCCGGGCCAAAGAAATTTCCCCTCCAGGGGGTCCGACTGCTCCCGTGCTCCGCAAACACGGTTGTGCAGCTGGCAGAAGGAGGGCCTGGAGCTGGGTGCCGGCGTTGCCTTAGTTCCCAGAAATCAGAGACCGTCCAACTTCAGCCATGTCTTCCCCTTCTTCCTGAAGGCCATGAGCTTTCGGGATGCCTCCAATGGACACGTGGTCCGTTCCGCAGGGACAATGTTTTCTTCAGGATTTTAGCAACGGTGGGGCTCTCGCCATCAGTGGAGGATGCGCTGCCCACGAGCTGAGGACAGTTCCCCAGGTCCAGGGCTCCACATTCGTACCATCCTGGCGAGCTCTCCCCGTCTTGGTTGCTCTTGGGGGAGCAGGACTTGCCTGGGGGGCGCCGGGGCTCCTGGAACCCCACCTGAGGCTGATTTTGGTGCAGCGAGGAGCCTGGACGGTCCAGGAGGAGAATGCCTTGATGCGCTGTGTAACTTCACGCCCGTTAGGAGGGCCTCGGTTTCCCCAAGAGGGGCTGCTGAGGAAGCAGCGGTGTTTTCCGGTGATACGGGGTGCCCAGCTGCAGAGGAGCCCAAGCACTCAGGGTCCCCACCTCTCCCGCCTGTCTTTTTCACCCCACTGCCGCTGCCTCTCTCCTCTCGGGGCCCCTTGCTTGCTCCAGGCCCTGGGCAGGGACAATGTGCCTCTTACTCCGTATGGAATCCCTTGGGGAGAGAGAAGGCGCAGTGGATCGAGCAACATAATTCTGCAACCCCACCAGGTGTCGCCACGGCGCTTTCCAATGGTTTTGGATCTCTGCCGTCAGTTCACTCTTACCATTTTTAGCTACTGAAATTAACAGTGTGGAGACAAGAGAACAAGTTGAAACAACAGTTCAGAGGGGCTAATCCTCTCCTGGAACTTGCGGTTGTCTGAATAATGTAAACAGCTAAAGGGAGAACTTTAGTCCACTTCGATCCATGCTCCTGGCAAAGTTTAGTTACTAGACTTTGAATCCATGCACTCTGTTTGTCCAGAACTCTGAGGACAGCAGGGCATATGACGCAGCCACTTAGTTCCTATTGATTGTGTAAGTTCTTGACGTACCCTAGCTGTGAAATGGGCCCTCTATCTGAGCCTATCCTTTCAGGAGGCCCAAATCCGGGCACAATTTCATAAAGGAGTATTGTGCGTACTGTTTCAGCTGTTGCTTGGGCTATTGGAAATACTGCTCATCCACTCAACTGATCTGAAATTACCAATAAATGCTTCTCTCCTTCTGCAAGAGTTAAATCAGGAAATTGAGCTGAATACCCTGCAGGAGCCACTTCTGAGCACCAGGAGCCATGACTAGAGATTTCTCTTTTGGCTGCACTGTTCACAGCAAAGGCAATGTTTGCTTATATGACCAGATGTCTCCTGCAATGCCGGTGCCCTGAGGACTGCCTGAGTGCTCTTGTGAGGCCTTCCGTGAGTGCTGTCATGCATTTTCCGTAATACCTCTCATTTTTTGCCTCAAGGCAAAATTAGTCTGCCATAATTACCACCATTAACAGAGAGTTAAAAACATATCTCTTCCTACAGGTCTTTCCAGATGAGTTCTCATTTCAGTTTTATTTGATATGCAATATCAGTCAACATCACTCACTGTTGGTTTAATTTCTTATCAACCACCCAGGGCCGATGGGAATGGGGTGGCATATAAATATTAAGAAAAATCAAATAAATAAAAATACTTTTCCAGAATCCCCCTTTTCTGCTACCAGCCCCCATTTCGTACAGTCAGCTTCCTCGTTCTCTGGAGCATTTTTCATTGCTGGGCTCAGTTGATCTGTATTCCCTGCAACACTTCCGCTTTCGCGACCCTATCAGCTAACCTATTTCCCATGGCGACAGGATCACTCTGTTTTGTATGAGCGTTACAACGAACCGCAGCTATTTCTTTGGAGCTCGCTGAGCCAGAAGGGCTGGCACACAGCGTAAGCATACTGAGCCTGTCCGGATGAGGCAGGATCCGGACTGCGAGCTCTACAAAGGCACCAGCATTGGCTTACTTCCCAGGTGCGGCCCGTGTTCCCCACAGTGGGTGGGCTGCGGAGGGAACGCTCCTGCGCACGCCCTGATGGTGGCCTTCCACAGCCGGGCTCAGCCTTGCTTGGGCTTGGCCAACGGTCGCGATGCTGCAGCCCTGCCCGGGATTCACGCACTCCCCTCTGTTGCTTGAGTGGTTAAAGTAACTCATCCTGAGCTACTTCTATCACCCTGAAGGGGAACGCTGCACCAGGGAGACGTACTCCAACACAACACAGGCGAGCCTTACACAAACACAACACGCCGTGAGCATTTGCATGCATGTTGATCTTTAAGCAAACCGCACAGAGTGTTCATAGGGCTTCTGGGAAACCAATACCAAATCCTGCATGCAGAAGTCTAGGTTTTCCAAGGGCAAGACTAGTTTCAAGCCCGTCCCCACTCTGGCCCCAGAGGGAACACAAATTGCCCATTTCAGAGGCTGTCGGCCAGCCAGAAACCCCTTCTAACGGATGTGCTTTTTCCTCTCAACATGAACTTTCTGGGGGGCATCTCTGATCAGCCCTCCTCTGGGCGAACTCTGGCCAGGCAGACTTGTGCAGACAAACCCCGCCTTTCACAGACATCCTGGGCTGCAACAACCCCTCTGGCTGAACACTCTCCACGTGTGCAAATCGTGAAAAACTGGGAGATCCTTCCACCCCGCCAATGCTGAACAAAACCGCAAAATCCAGGAGCTGCAGCTATCTGGTTCCACAGCCAGCCCTGCTCAGTCATGAAACATGGCTTGGCTTTAGCAAGTCACTAATTCTCAGCCTTGCCTACCTTACAATCCATTGACTAATATTCAAACCAACATGGTAGCGTTTGAATGCCCCCCCCCCCCCCCCACAGCAGGCAGAAATGCCTCCAGCGAGCTCTTTCCAGCAGGTGCCTCATCTTCCCTCTCCGGAAAACACTGGTCCCTCTTCAGATCCAAACCCTCCTCTGCCAGGCCCCTCTCTGCTCTCCGGGTGCCACCC